ACTTTATCCTAGGGGATCGTGTTTACAATATCCAGGTGCCTTCGCTCCAGGGTGAGGGAGTGCAGAAAGTGAAGCCTGATTGGAGTATCATTTTGGCATATGAAAACAAGTTGCGCAAAGAAGCTTTCAAACTTGTCATTCGTGAAGGCTACACATTGGCCGAGGCCCTTGGTTCTGTGATCAAAGATGCTGACCTGAAGGAGACGTACTTCACCACACCGGTTGCACTTCGAGCTGCGATGTCCGTTGAGAGGCCCCCGCCAAACAAATTCCAGCGTTCATCTTACAAGGGTTTTGGCGACTTCAAAGGTGATTGGAAGGGCAAAGGCAAGTCTTGGAAAGGGGGGAAAGGTGACAAAGGTGGGAAAGGTAGCAAGGGTGAGGTCCGTAAAGAACTTCAGGGCCTTCAGTTGGCTTGGAGGACGCCAGACGGCCGTGACCTGTGCTTTGCATTCAATTCAGGCAGTTGTGATGGCAAGTGCAATAGGGTACATCAGTGCCGTGTGAAGGGTTGTTACGGGGATCACCCCGCTGTGAAGCACAAGGAGTTGGGGCATTCGTGACAGGAGGACGGGGCTCCTCCCCCCAGCAGGGGGGCTGATCCGCACGCTTTGCCTCTACCCTTTCGGCCCGAGGTCAAAGTCATGTATTTATTTGCTGGGAAGAAGCGCCAGGCTGATGTGGGCTCTTGTTTAAACAAAATGCACTCAGACGGCCGAATCGCTTTACGGTTGATCGAATTCGATATCGAAAGGTCTGAGACACACGACTTGCGTAGCAACGATTTGTGGGACCAGATCACCGCACGGTTACGGAAGGGCAGATGGTTTTTGATTGTCTCCCCTCCTTGCAACACTTTTTCACGTGCTCGCTTCCAGTGGCGTTTGCATCCGGGGCCACGACCCCTGAGGAGTCGTACATGGCCTAAAGGGTTTCCATGGCTATCTGGCCTGAATCAGGCCATTGTCAATGAAGCAAACGAATTCGTTTTGAAATGTCTCGACGCATGTTCCGTCGCCGTTCAACACGGTGGTTGGTTTTTGCTTGAACATCCAGAAGATTTAGGTAAGGTGCATGATGAGGTGCCAGGCACAATTTGGCAGTGGGATGAAGTCCACAACTTATTCGCTTGGTGCGGTGGTTTCACTTGTGCGGTTCACCAATGTAAGTTTGGAGCCCCCACCTCCAAACCCACCAGATTAATGACTAATTTTGTGCTGAATGATCTGCGTTGTCATCCCGGTTTTCCTCAATTCGATTCCAGCTTTCGCTACTTGGGGCCGCTCCCAAAGTCTTGTGGACATGTTCATGAGAGCAAACTCGTAGGAAAGCAGAACAATCAATGGAAGACCGGCCCCAGTGCGGCCTATCCACCTGACATGTGTCAGTTCATTGCTGAGGCCATTTTCGTTGCTGTCGCATCCTTCGGAGGGGGCGGCGAAACTGGCGACACGGCAACTGAACCCCTAAACAATTCGATGGCCACTGAGCCTTGGCCATCGAATTCTTGGGACCTGTTGCCGGAGGCTGGCAACAGTAAGGGTGAGGGCAAAGACCTGGGCACGACTGAGGGTGGTCCTCCTTGCCCGAACTTTTCCATGGTCAACCAAACTCAAAAACCCATTGTTGGTTTGACTTCGGATGAGCCCGTACGCGAGCCTTCAGTTGAGAGCATTCGTCCTTTGACACAAGCAGATGAAGTTGAAGCTTTCGACATGGTATCCTGTTTGAACTCTGGTCACCCGATCAGGGTCGAGTGGGACACGTTTGAGCGTGACTTCATAGATGGATTTGGGCTTTGTTCACCCACAAGATGGCCTCCGGCTGCAAGGGGTGTAAGGCGCTCTGTGGCAATGAAACGTTTGGCATTTGAGACCTTTTCTCTTCTTGCTGACACCGTGCGGCAGTGCATACCGGATGTTAGGTCCGCGGCCTTTGCATTAGTGACTGGCAAGTTTCAGGCCTCACCATTCGTCGGCGAACCTTTGGAAAGCTTGCGAACTCAGTGGGCAGGACTCCTGCGAGATCCTGCTGATGCTTTGGTGATTGATAGTGGTCAGCCGTTTTTACTACGGGGCATGGCACAGTGGCTCACTGTTTTCGAGGATCCGGATGTTGGTTGGCTCGTCGACGCTGAAGATTGTTTTGCCACGGGAGTCCCACTAGGTGTTGATGCACCCTTGCCTCGGTCGCCGCAGGTGTTTCCGGAGAAAGTTAAGCGCAGAAAGCTTGATGATTCCGATTTCAACCCAGTTGCATCGAACTATCCTTCGGCTCAGCTGTCTACTGCCGAATTGGAGTCGAAGTTTCGAGAGGAGGAACTGGCGGGGCGCATGTACCCCACACGGTACTCAGTCTTGAAGGAGGAGTTCGGTGAAGAACGCATTCGGATTGCATCGATGGCTGCCATAACCAAGCCTGATGGGTCGATCAGACCACTACACGATGGGACTCATTCGGTGCAGGTCAACAACCGCATCGTGTACAGAGACCAGATCCAGTGCCCCGGCCCACCTGAGGTGGCTTCAGTGGTGAGGGAGTCTGTTGAGACTCGCAAGGCACCTTTCTGCGTTTCGGCTGACATAAAGTCCGCACACAGACTGGTCAAGATTCGTAAGATGGATTGGCCGTACATGGCATGCAAAGCTGATTCGAACTCTTCCACGGTCTGGGTGAATAAGGTAGGTACCTTTGGAATCTCTAGTGCACCATACTGGTGGTCGAAATTGTTTGCGCTTGTGGGTCGCTTCGTCGGCCATGTGATGGGCGCTGCTTGGTTTCTCCACTTAGTGTATGTCGACGACTTACATGGTGCTTTCACGGGGGCTTCGAAGTTCTTGCACCTCTGGGTTTGGGTCCTCGCTTTCGAACTTGTTGGGACGCCTTTTGCTTATCATAAGTTTCGGGGTGGTTTCTCTTCCGAGTTCGTTGGTTACCAGATGCGTTACGACTTGAATGAGGTGGGGATCTCGTTGCGGCGTGGTGAATGGCTTTCCAAGTGGATCAGATCCGCTGAGGAGAAGAGATTTGTGGTCGTCACTCGTGACTTCGCAGAGTTCCTTGGCCGGTTAGTATTTGTTGCACAGCTGTTGGTCTGGTTGAAGCCGCATTTGTCTCCCCTCTTTGCATGGTCAGCTGCCACCGCTGCCAGCACGGTAGCGAAGCTCCCAGAGATTGTAATCCTCACCCTTAAGTACTTAGTGGCTGAGTTTTCGGTTGAGTCTTACATGGTGTCGGCGAGAAGGCCTCGGGTCTTCACCGGTGAACAGTTCCGGACGGATGCAAAGTGCACAGATGACTCAGTGGTTCTTGGGGGTTGGGAAGTCTCTTCGGGTAGGTGGTTCCAGATTTGTTTAGACGAATCGAAGGCTCCTTACTTGTTTCGGCCTGGAAAGGGGTCCCAGTGGGCTTCGACTTCCGCAGAGCTCCTGGCGACATTGGCGGCCTTAGTTGCCTTTGGCTGGACGGACGCAGCAACCTCCAGGAAGTCTTTAGAGCTCTGTCTTGCAGCCGGGACAGACAATAGGAGTAACGAATGCCTCTCTGTGAAGCGTTCCACCACTAAGTTCCCCCTGATGCTAATTAACATGCAGTTGTCTTCTGTGCTGTCCAGGGCACGGGTAGCTGTAAGGTTGAAGTGGAGACCGAGAGAAGAGAATACGATTGCAGATGATATCACCAATTCGATTTTCGATCAAGTCGATTTGTCGAAGCGCATCGCCATGAGTTATAATGATCTTCCAGTTCAAATCATACATGCGCTCTTTGAAGCCAAGTCAGACTTCGACCAGGCGCGTGAATCCCAGCGCGCTGTTGCTCGTTCTCAGGCTCTCCGCGCGGCGGGTCAGAAGAGAAAGAGGGTCGATAAGACTCCCTGGTGATCACCCAGGGTCGCCATCCGCTTCGTAGGGGGTGCTTGGACTTCTGGCGACCGCAGAGCCAGATTCGCAGCATCCCTTTTCGTTGCATTCGTTCGTAGGACCTTTGCAATTCGTGGAGGAGTGGGATTCACCACCTGTCGCAGAAAAAAGGAAGAGCGCTTGATCGTGATTTGCAGTTCGTCGTCAGTTTCACTTTTATGTTCTGAATTTTCGTTGATGTGTTGCAGTTTCTTGGAAGCACACTTGTGTTCCTTGCACACTTGTTCGCATAGCGCTTACATGTTCGCACAGTGCCCCGCACTCTCTACTGCACCTCTCACTCCTAACTCCTAGCACAGCGTAGAGGTTGAAGCTGGGCATTGGCCTGAGGGAGGAGATCAAGACCGGCGAGCAGGAGAAGAAGAATGACATCGAGCATGTCAATGCCGTGGCCCTGAATAGGTTCAGCAAGCGGACCATGATGATTTGCCCTGTTGACTTTGCTGCAGAGCGCTGAGGGAGCACGGCAGGAGGAGCCCAATGAGACCGAGAGCAGCCAGTGGGATTTGACTGGATCTTCACTGATTTGGCCTTTGCCTTTGGCATCCTGGTCGGGCATCATGGGTTGGAGCTGGTTCAAGGTGTTTGGAAGGCATTTGGCCTTGAGTGGGGGCTTGAGCCTGGTGCCGGCGCGGCCTGAGATGAAGGATCAAGAGATCCAATGTGAGCTGTCGACCCGGACATATGAGAAGATCTTTTGGCTGGAAGGTCGAGATGTTTTTCACAGCGACAGCACATGCCCCAGGTTGGGCAGCAGGTCAGCTTTGCAGCTGAGGATCTGCAAGTGTCCGCGATTTGGCTTGTGACTGAAGTCTAAATAGGCCCCAGTCAAGTGAGGCGCAAGCCGATACATGCTTTCTGTATAGCTGGACATGTTCACATACCGCTAGCCCTCTTTTAGCGAGAAAAGGCGCGTTGATCCGCTCCCGTTTCGCAGGGTGCCGGCTAGGTAGGCCGGACTCCGGCACACACGCCCCAAAACATGTTTTCAGTGGAAAGGGTCCTGAGTCCTGGCCAGCTACTACTTGAGGGAGGTGTCACACTATCATACAGTTCCAACTGGCTGCGAGCAACCATGAGGTCCGTTCAGTCCGTTCTCAACACTTCCCCGTCGCATCTTCTGGAAGAGGCCAAAGTTTTGCTCACATTGCCAGGGTCGTAACAGTTGTTTATTGCATAGGTCGGTTGCTTTTAAGCTTTAAACATTGCTGCGCACTTGCATTCCAATTCATGTTGCTGCTGCAGATCATCCTCGTGGATGATGCTAGCCATCCTGATGACTTACGTTTCTACCGCAAGCATTGGCGCGCGGCTCTGCAGGGCTCATGTTTAGTTGGGCCATGTCACAGTTGCCGTTCACATCCCTGGGGCAGTTCCTCCATGGTTTTTATCCAGCATCCGTGTGGGGAGGAGTGCGACGTCCAGTTTAAAGATGCGTAAATTCTGCAAACGATGATGTACTTCGGACACGCGAAACCTCCATCCAGCATCAATGTTGCAAACTACAATTTTCCAGCACACCAACTTGAAGGTGGCGTTTCGCGTTGAACCATGTCTTCTTCATAATTGCTTGCGTTGCGTTATCTACCAAATATTCATCGTTTTGCATGGGCTGGGTCCTGGAAGATGACCTCCATGTGTCGGTGATTTTGGGTGTGGAGGTGAAGCTTCCCCGGGATTTCCACTCTTTTGGCCGGCGCGGAAGTCAGGTGCTCTCCTTCGCACAGTTCATCATGGATCATGGGGATGTCATGTTAAGAGAGAGAGAGAAAGAGAGAGAGAGAGAGAGAGGGGCCAACGACCTACCTGTTGTACCAGCCCACACTGTGCAAAATACAAGCCGCTCTTTAGACAACCAACCACGGTAGCGGAAGCACAGCAGACTGCACCCTCCGTGAAAGCATGTGAAAGCGGCACTCTTGGCCATGGCGCTTATTTCCCAACTGCTGAAGTGCATGCAGCTGCGTCCCGTGCCGTAGCCGTAGCCACCAAGATTTTGCATTGTCAATTTTGCACAGCATCTAGCCCAAATTAAGAACAGAAACACGATTGCAAAGATTTAGTTGGTTGATGCGTGTGCCTGTTCTTTACTCGACTCTACTATCACTATCGTGCTTGTTTTGACGCGCAGCTCTGCACCAGTCTAGTCTCTGTGTGCCGAGGCAAGCATGAGACATTTTTTCTCCCACCATAGCAGTTCTATAGCAGTTCTCATGGAAAACCACGACCAACATCCACCTTGTGCTTTGGAAACTTGGACTTACACATGTCGTCAAATGTCATAGATCATAGATGTTTATAATTAGGTTATATACCCTGTCCAAGTCCCTGTCCATATTGTGTCATCCCAAAGCTGGACGATCACTATTGATCAGTCTATATAATCAGTTGAGGAGAGGATTTGCCCTCCTAATGATGCTTGACACTGGGATCCTACATTGCCACTTGATTGGGACTAATGTACTGTATGACAAACTGTGGGGTGCTGCAAGTATCTTTAGTGCATGTGTCGTGCCCAAAACATCCCAGCGCAGTGACGTTTGCACGTGTTCCTAGAGAAAGCGTTGACGCAGCTGTAGTCCTGTTTGTCTAAAGGCACACTTCAACCCTGAAGAAATCGAGCTGGCCTGCCCGGATATTCAGAGATTTGATGAGATTTGTTGCGGAACACTTGCACAACTTTGTGAATACGGGTCTTCTTCTGAGTGCGGAGTGCTTTGGAGACCAGAAGAACATTTGACCCTTGACGGACTTTTGACGGGACCTAAACCGTCGATCATCCAAACAAGGATGCCACAGAGTGCCCTTCGAGCGAAGACATCCACAAAATTGATGCTGCTTTGCCCATCAGGAGCATCTCAAACGATCCCTGATCCCCTCAGTGCTGCTGTTGGTAGGCCGCAGCGTCTCCTTACACTCCTCTATGAACATGTTCGATGTGTTCCTGGCACTTGGTCACACTAGGTTCAGTTGAACTTGGCCATCACTGGTTTGGCGGCCCTACTGACCAAGCTCGTTACTCCTCCGGGCCGCCCAAGGGTCAATGCCTTTATTGCACTCAGCTCCGAAGTGCTTGCCCAGATGATTTTCGGACTTTTTCGAGGCACAGTGAGACAGTTTTGAAGCCGTGGGTTTGGGTACTTTGTAGGGATGCCATCATCACAAAGACTGCGCATACATACCGTAGAATGTCGGTGACGGTGTGGAACGAGCTGACGCTTTGGCTGCTGTGCAATGTTCATCAGGGGTCTCTCTCGTCAATGCTCACAGCCTTGGGGCAAATTACCCCAAGTAAATACTGTAAATACATTGCAAAATCTATATGGATATGATTTGATTCCTGGATATATATATATATACATATGGATACATATGGAAGATACTTATGCACTGTCGGAACGGAGCCTGAAAGGAACGTAGTTTGTGCCAAAGTTTCAGTAGTTTAGGGTACCACGTTGATTCATTTTGGTGCACAGGTTTTGAAGGAAACGCATTGCTGCTAGTCCATCCTCTGTGTGGCCTTTTGAGTGTGCCCTTTGGCATTCATTCGATGTGGTTGTGCACATTGATTTGATAAGAACGTTGCTTCACATTTCTCTAGCAATTCTATATAACAACTTCTTATGATTGCTCAGAGGTTGCTCTTGAGTGGAACCCACGCGTGCCGCTTAGCTTCGATTGATTCCCTACTTTTTTCTGCTTTCGCTGGGGCCTCGCAAAGTCGTATCAACTGGAGGAAAGTCGTATCAAATGGTGCGCCCTTGGGGTTAGCTTATCTGTGGATGTTTGTTGTTGTTCTATTTGTTCTACGAACTGATGTTAGTGTGCTGTGCCCATGCGTTGCTTGCTTGTGTGATAGATTCAACAACCTTGTTGCATCATTGCATCGCGTTTTTTCAACAGACAGCGTGAGCTATTAGGGTTCTTACTTCAAGTATAGGAAGAGCTGCATGTGTGCGTTTTCGAGCGTGGGTGCTGGTGCCGCTGCAGGGCGCCGCTGTTGTTCCAGTGTAGGAAGAGCTGCGTGCTTGCGCGCTCGAGCTTGGGCGCTGGTGCCGCCACAGGGTGCGCTGGGGAGCTTGGGTGCTGGCGCGTTGCAGCGTGCCGCTGCTGTGTGCGCTTGAGAGCTTGGGTGCTGGTGCCGCTGCAGGGTGCTGCTGTGTGCACTTTGGATCTTGGGCATGTGGCCATGTGCACTTTGGAGCTTGGGTGCTTCTGGGCTTGGCATGGTGTTTGGGCTGGGATGTGTGCTTCTGCTGCTGCCTCCGCGATACAATACCTAAACTTTCTGGCAATCGGCGCGAAAGAGTAAGCGCCTTGTAGAAAGGAACCTGGTGTGACCCTAATGTGACCCGATCGCATCGGGCACCTCCATGCGGATCAACAGATTTCCAGTCACCTGTGTGATGAGCAATTTCTTTGCAATCATACGTGCATGTGATGGATGTGACAGTGGGATTCACACAGCAAAATCCTGACAAAACATACTCAGTAATAGCAAATTCCACAGTATGGGCCAGGTGTTGGGCAGGTTTCGTCTTTCTAAAGACTTGCTTTGGTGGCGCTATGCCACTGGGGTTTACATGTTTTGATGTGACATCTTTCCACCTGATGTGACCTCCTTCCAATGCGGTGTGCCATGGGGTGATGTGACTTTTCGCCGACTGATGTGACTTAAGCCCTGATCTTGTAGTTCAGAATGGTCACAAGATGTCACAAGTACTTGCGTGACGTAACTGTGAAGGAGCAACATCCAGCATTACTCTCATGGCGCTCACGACGTCTTGCGACCCTGTGCAGCCCGAGCCCTTGGATCAAGCCTGTGGGCGGCAGGATCGTCCTAGGGCCCTCATGGGCGTTTCACCCCTGAATCCCGAAATGTTTGTATATATATATATATACTGTATATGTATACACAAGTTATGGTTCATACTGTAATTGTTCTAGCTTTTTTACACACCTGTCAGTTGCTCCTATTCTTCAAACATTTGCAGCTGTAGACGTGCAGCGTGCGGATGCATTTTTGCAAGTTTGGAAAGGCAAATCTGCAGGTGCGACAGTGTCAGTAATACTCATATAGCCAATTCTTTCGCGATGGATCTCGACCCCGATGCCACTTCTTTGGTTATCCGCACGTCCCAAGACTATCGCTACGACAGCCTGGTCTCGATGCTTGAGTTCCAATGTGCTGATGTTTGGTCCGGTCCGGGCCTTGGCTTTCTTGATGTCTTTGTTGGTCGGCAAGCAGATGTTTGACAATGGATTGCATATTTTGTTGGAGATCGTTGCTTTTTTGGTTGCTGGTGGTGATCTATTGGCTTTTCGCCCAGCTTATTGGTAGCTTGTGTGGTGGTTGGTGGTTTCTTTAGTTTCTACTGGCTTTTAGCTTTTTGGTGGCTGTCGCGTTTGGCTTCTTCTAGCAGTGGGCCCAGTGGTTTCAGCCTTTGATGGCCTACCTATTTGTTGAGAGTTTTTGCAGCTTTTGGGTTTCGGTGGCCTATGTGGTTTTTGCTGGCTTGTGTGGCTTTGAGCTGGCATGTGGTTGCTCGTTGACTTGGTCTATCTGGGAACCTCCCTAACCCGGACCAAAGAAAAGGAAGCAAACCACATCAAAACGAATATCCTTTGTCCTTTGGCGAACTCAGGTGGTTTTCCGGTGGATTTTCTTTATTTGCCATGCCCACGGGTGGGCATTATCAACTTCATCAGCCATGAACTGTGCCTACTGTGCTTCCAGACAATCAGTCAGCGTATCAAAGCCGGTGCAATCAGAGTGATCAAGGTTCAGCAGGCGGGAAAAGTTGTATACTCACATAATATTATTGTTTTCCAGATGTTTCCGAGTTTCCGCAATGAATGTTTCACGCACACGGACTGATGTTGTTGCAACATCAGCCGCAAGGACGGCGCATTGCACTTGCATAAGCAAGCACGATGAGCAAAACAAACACACACACACATGGAAACTAGCAGTGGGTGTGATTGTAAGCTTGCCAGCAGGCAATGTATCAGGGGCTTGCTGCGAACTTGGCCGTGTATTACGCTAAGGTTGGGTGGGCCTTTGCTAAAGTGAATTTAAGCGTGTGCTGCATGTTGTTCTTTTCAGAAGTGCAAAGCTGGATTGCAAGGCTGGCCGCCGTGGGCTGGAGCGCAAGAATGCACCGAAAGTGTTCATTGAAGGGAATGAACTGCCTTTGCGTCAAGCCGCCCGGCAAGTCATTCCCAATCCACAGACAGTGACAGTTTTTGCGACACATGTGACGGTGTCCACGCTCGAGCCAAGGCTTTGAAAGCATTTGTCACG